TTTAAAACAAAGTAAAGATTTGCTTTCTCTGAATCTTTGCTGTTAACATTTTCATCTCTTTTGTTCTTTGACCTGCACATAGAAAGAGAAACACTGTGCCTCCACATTTCTACAGAAGAAACAGAAAACTAAGAAACTAAAACTAAGAATTCCATCCTTGATGTGAGGGTGGATCACCAGCACTGGAAGGCAATTTGCCTGTAAGACAGTTGCTGCATTGACCCTTTATGTTCACTGTAAAGGTCAACATTCCCTTTTTCTTTTGTTTCAATCCACAACACGCATAAATCAAAGTTCTTGGCTATTTTCTTGTTTTAAGTGGAAAATACCATTCTTCAAAACCAAAATTTAGCTTGTACAATCATGGGATAGTGCTACAAAATAAAATTAAATATGGTGATTGAGTGGAAATATTTTTGGGTTGGTTTAGGCAAATATTTAAAATAAATGTAATTTAGGCTCAGATCAGCAATCAGTGTTTCCCATAGCTTTTGTGCTAAATTATACTTTTGCATGTTGAAATCACCTCATCTAATTAGAAAATTCGCAGTAACAAAGAGCAAACAGATGGTTCTAGGCCTACGTCATTTCTCAGCCCAAGTTGTAAACATGATTTACAATCTGCAAGATATTATTTACTGTGATTCATGTTTGTGTCAGTACCACACTGGAGGTTAATAGAAATGCCAGCATGCTCACTGATTTACTTAGTAAAATTTTCATTCCAAGGTTCAGGTTCAGAAGATTGGAGTCAGAGAGAGTTACAGGATTCATGCATTATGCAGAAGAAGCTAACATGACCTTCAGCCAGCGCAGTCTTTTCTATCTATTACACTAGGCTTGACCCCCCTTCCAGGGCCAGAAGGAGCATTTCATATATTTAACCACTACTACCATTACGTTACTCACATTCTTTATGCGCTAAAGCCATTTTATATGTCCAGCAACATAGAGGCAACATAATTTTGATCAACTGCGAGGATGCAAGTTTGTCTGCTGCTACAGATACCACTTATAATTCTACCAGTCACCTTAATATATATTTAGCTTCCCCAAACGTTGTGACCACACTGTGAGCTCCGCTCTGCAGACCCACTAGCAGTATACAACACTTGCCATGCAGCCGTAACACACAGTTTTTAGTTAAATCCTACCAGACACTGTAATTTATAGCTCACAATTTAGCTTCTCCAAACTGGTCTGACATTTAGCTTCTCCAAACTGGTACGTCTACGCAGACGTTCTAACACCCAATTGGCTGCATCACTCCCACTTATACAACAACAATCATGACCAACACAATCACACACACACACACATATATATATATATATACACATACATATATATATATATACACACACACACATACATATATATATATATACACATACATATATATACACACATACATATATATACACACATACATATATATACACACATACATATATATACACACATACATATATATACACACATACATATACACACATACATATATATACATACATATATATACACACATATATATACACACATACATATATATACATATACATATATATACATATACATACATATACATACATATACATATATATACATATACATATATATACATACACACACACACACACATACACAATTATAGAGTAAGCGTGTTTTACAAATTTGAAGTTTTTAAGAGAAGCCATTTTCGGTTTCGTTTCGGTTTTCGGCCAAGTGCATCCTAAATTTTCGGTTTCGGTTTCGGCCCAGAATTTTCATTTCGGTGCATCACTAGCATGCAGTGATTGACAAACTAAAGTATGTGAACTCTCCACTGATCTATTCAGCTTATTTTGAATCAAATTAACATACTATCATTACTTCTAATCAACATTTTAACAGGAGATACTTCATAGTGTTACAACTACTCCTTAAAGCAACAATCCTCTCACCTTTAACACCTAGGAAATATTTATGTGGCTGCAATTCATTGGCATTTTGATCCTAATCTTTACAGAGAAACTCTGTGGCATCACTGCACTTACATTAGATGTATACATTCAGCCATCCATCCATTATCTAAACTGCTTATCCTGAAGAGGGCCAAGAGGGCCAGGGGGGGGGCTGGAGCTACTCTCAGCTGACATTGGGTGAGAGGCGGGGTACACTCACTCCTACGGCAATTTAGAGTTACCAATCAACCTAAGCTGCATGTCTTTGGATTGTGGGAGGAAGCCGGAGAGAACCCACACTGACGCAGGAAGAACATGCAAACTGAGTAGAAAGACCCCGGACTGGCAACAGCACTAACTACTACTCCACCATGCCACCTCTTTTCTTTATATTCTAATTATGTTGAGGCTGGATGTGTACAATGGCTCAAGCTATCTACTGTGATATTTGGCACTGGTAATATACACCGATTAGACATAACATTATGACCACCTGTACATCTGTATGCACTTCAATGCAACACTTCTGCCTTAACTTTTGTGTTTATGAAGCTCAAAATGTTTCAGCTTTTGGTGAGATTGTCATAAATGTATAAATTTAATTATCCATCCATCCATTTTCTTCCGCTTATCCGGAACCAGGTCGCGGGGGCAGCAGTCTAAGCAAAGATGCCCAGACTTCCCTCTCTCCAGACACTTCCTCCAGCTACTCCGGGGGAATGTCGAGGCGTTCCCAGGCCAGCCGAGAGACATAGTCCCTCCAGCGTGTCCTGGGTCTTCCCTCGGGCCTCCTCCTGGTGGGACATGCCC